AGAGTAAGAGAGAAGCAGCTCTCAGAAATGTCAACTAGAACTGGGTTACAATTTATATGTTACAATATGTCACTTTTAATATTCTTTAATATCATTATTAGTTTAAGAAAGCAGCTCAAAATATCACTATATCTGTAATCAGTGAATATTTCCCCTCTGGTATCGGTGTCAGACTCCAGCATCTCATCTCGGTCGACTGTAAACATGCATGTTTTCACAAACTCGACTAATTCCAGCATTACAGGTGGCTTTAGCTGTTAATACTAACTGTCGTGTTGGATGAGAGGGTGAGGGTGTGTCTCTTTGTCAGTTGGCAGGAACATTGTGTCCTGCTGTCTAAATACTGAAGGATAGAGTTCACACACTGTGGCCTCTCAGTGGTGTTTTATTACACTGCAACTCTTCACTCCAAACAGGATAAACAAGTAACAGACAATCAGTCCAATAGTCAACCTGTCAGCAGTAAGGATGCACTGATTGTGAAGTTCTGGGTCGATACGACGATTAAAATACAACATTTTTGTGGTGGGAAGAAATCTTCAATGGAGGTGATTATTTCTCTAATGTCCTAGTTGGAAATAGTTAATGTGACACAATTAATGTGCCATCTGATTTGGCCGATGTCGGTCAATAAGGCGAATATCGGCCGATGAATGTGTGCATCCCCAGTCGGCGCTCTCTGGTGGACAGACTATGTAATGCAGATAGTTTCCTTGTTTATGTAACAATTATATAAACACGTACCGATGAATCTGCCAACACATACCGGTACATCAGTCCAGCTCTGCTCTACTCTTATATAACGGTCATTTATTTGTTGTGCCAATACAATCATACAATCAATACTTTGTTTTAATCTTTCTAAACACTGGATTAAGTGTTTGCTACTGCAGCGAGCGTGATAAGGATACACCAATCAGAATCAAGTATCCATTGTATTAAAAGCATGATAACGCAGGGGGTCGTACATTTGATTTAGTGTTGTAATATACTGTACAGCATCAGTTTGTATTGTATCATGTGCTCTGTCAAACTGTCAGCTGCTGCTTTTAAAGTTATTTTTGAACTGGCCTTTAGCTGCTGTGTTGTGTCCTTGTTGTGCTCTGATGTGTTTAATTCATTTATTTGTCCAATTTGGTATCTCAAATCAGCCTGAGTGCACTCGGGAAAGCTGAGCACATTCACGCTGTTTGGTTTCTGTGTCTGATTTGATTTGAGTGTTTTTCCACCCGCTGTAGAGAAATGCAACCCTGCTTTTGACTTGTCAGCACGTTCTGATACAAGTCGAAGCAGTGCAGGGCAGATCGAGGGATAAATGAAGAGAGAGGGAAGAAAAGACTGCGCGGGAGGGAGGGAGGGAGGTTGGGAGGATCTGGACCGTTTCCCAGTCGCTAAAATAAATAACATTCTGTTCTCCTTACTTTTGGACATTTCTTCCCTATTTTTGCTATCAGTTCTGTTCCCACTTGGTAAAAACACCCAGGAATGTGTATAGAGCTGAACTCTCTGGGTACAATCACCCGTAAGAGGTTTTTATGTGTCACCACGTTTAAAAAAACACCACATGAATTTTCAGACTAAAACAGCTCCGCGGTGGTTCCCAAATACGAGTCGAGAAGATCCCAGAGGATCCAGATAAAGATCCCAGACTTTCAGTGAGACTTCAAAAGGGCAATAGTGTGTAACATTTAGGAGGATCTATAGGTTTGTATTCTTTAGTGTATAATCACCTGAATATAAGAATTGTTGTGTTTTTGTTACCTTTAGATTGAGCCTCGTCTAGTCCTCCATAGTAGCCTAAAACGGACAAACACTGGATCTATATTGTAGAAACTTCACCACTAGATGTCACTAACTTCTTCACATTGATCATTTAAAGTGGTTCTAAAATCCAGAAGACCGCAAGCTATACTTCTTGATTTTTATTATAATATAATTAAACGTTTTCACATGTTTTAGTGCAATTGGTGATGAAAAAGTTCTATAATTTGTGATGTGATGTAACTTTTTTACGGTCAAATAAACTTCTTAATAAGAATAGCATTTAGTGGCATCTAGCTGTGAACTAGAGGTTTCTGCAGAACTCGTGAAAAAGACGAAAGGCCGTGTCTGAAGCCAGCGTTTGGTTTGTTCGTTCTGGCTACCCGTTGAAGAGAGAGAGAGGGAAACGTGGTGTGACTGAGTGTTGTTTATCGTGGTTTTAGGACTCAGAGAAATGTCAACAAGCTGAGGAGGGTGGCATGATCTTAGATTTCTGTGTTGATCCTGGACTCTGACGTCTTATTTTCTTTTTTTTGTCCCGCTTCAACTCTTGTTTTTCTCCCCCACGTTCCCACATTCTTTCTCTTTCCCCCACATCTTTTCTCCTCCTCCACTCTCCCTCTCTGACCTCATCTTTCTAACCTCTTTCCACTTCCCTTTTGTTCCTGTCATCCACTCATTCCTTCACATTTCCTCTCTTTTTCTTTCCTGTTTTAATCTCTGTTAATCATGTCTAATCATCTCTGTTTGTCCCTCTCCTCCTCCGGTAGGACCAGTTCGGAGCAGAGGAAGCTGCGTTCTCGTGATGCGGCCAGATGTAGGCGAAGTCAGGAGACCGAGGTGTTTTATGAGCTCGCCCACACTCTGCCGCTCCCCCGTCGAGTTTCCACCCACCTGGACAAATCTGCCATCATGAGAGTCTCCCTCAGCTTCCTGTGGATGCAGCGCCTCCTCCGACCCGGTAAGGATCACATCTTCAGAAGGTTCCACAGTTCTCCCAATTATTGAGAAACAAAAACAGGAAACAGCAAAACATTAGTGCAATAATACAGCAATATCCACTATCAGTGTGAGTCCATACAGTCAACACTGAGCAACAAACACAGTTAAGAAATACTGTCTATGACCAGTTTACACATTCAGAGCAGATATAAGACATAACTCCAAACCACAATCATGATGCTGATCTTGATGCAATGTTAAAAGATGCAGTAATGAGTCAGTAAAAACACTGTAAGATCAGCAATAAAAGATCACAACACATTCTTACTACATTCCTACTAAATACGGCACCCTAATCATACAAGGCTGACCGAAGTTTAAAGTGTTCATGTGTCTGAAAAGAGCATCAAGGCTTTGTGTGAAGGTGTGATAGGTGGCACGGTACCTTATTCATTGGTAGGTTTTCCACAGTTGAGAAGCTGATACATAAAAACCAGATTGGGTGAAAGAGTTGGACCTGTGGGGGTTTACACAGTCCCCCCTCAGCAGAGCTATTGTTTGAGCTTTTCTGCTGAATAAAAGTGGTGGAGGAGTCTGTTTTCTTAGTTATGTTTATGCATGTGCTTTATTTATTTTGTAATGGGAGCTGCAGGGAAAGTTTCTTTGAGTGAATAAAAATGTGAAATGCAACCGAGCTAAAATAATCGTATAAAAGTTTTTAAACCATGAAAACTGCTGAGTTTGTCCATTTCTGTTGAAGGAATTCATTAAAGTGGAAGTTAAACTTGTATTCTGGATGTCTTGGCTGAACGGGGTTCAGGGTGATTATTAGATTACCTCTAATGGAGACACACCGATGAATTGCTGCCAGGTTTTACTCCAGCTGTTGGTTGGCTCTAAACAAAATGCTGAAACTTGCAAACTCTCTTGTAACCATTTAAAACTTTGTGGATTTCAAACTTCTATCTTTGTTAATGATTGATAGATATTGTGGAGTTTGTAGCATGAACCTTTTTCTGCTTCTGAAGGGGATGTGAGAACCACTGTCTTAACTGAAGACGTAAGAACATGTAAGGACATTTCTATCTGGGCGTTGTATCGCAGTCTGATTGTTTTTAAAGTGAGCTCAGACGCAGATACACATCAGCAGTGCATACCGTAAGCCTCAGACATATCTCGCCCCTACATCTCTACATTTCCCCTCCATGGCCGACTGGATTTCAATAGTGAAATCAGTCAGGCATCACAGGCTGCATGATGGGAAAAGCATCTCACTGCACGACAACTGTTAGGTTATACTTCCTTCAAAAGTACGCTGTCTCACACAAATGATGCAGAGTTACAGTAAAATATTTTTATTTTCATTGTGAGACAAACACTGAAACAGTCTGCCGTAATAATCACATGGCCATTTTTACAGCAGGTGAGACTAAGAAAGAGGAAGAGAAGGAAGAGAAGGATGAGGAAGAGGAGGAGGAAGATCCAATGGACACTTTCTATCCTCAGGCGCTGGCTGGCTTCATCATGGTGATCACTGAGGAGGGAGACATGATCTACCTGACAGAAAGTGTCAGCAGACACATCGGCATCACACAGGTACAAATAAATAAAGGAATAATTACATATAGTAGTCTGTTCACATATTTAGTTTCCTCTCTCGGGTTCAGCTGTCGTTCTGCTGCCGTGACGGTCTTGTGATAAGTCAGCATCAACGTTTCTGTTTACTCCAGTGTTTTTCCCACTGAATCATCCAGTGATAGTGTTCTCAAAGCACTCCGCCGCAGACGTAAATGTGAGGAATCATCCCTTTAACCACAAAAAATAAGACATTCAGTTTCCCCGTCGGCCTCTTTAGGTTAATTAAACTTTAGAAAGTCGACGCATTTGTTTTACAAGAAAACCACTGTCATCAAAATAACTGAAAATGTGATTATTTTTACTCCTGTATTGAAGCTGCATTGTTTGTCATTTGGCTGCTCTGTTTCTCCACAACTGTTTCTTTAATTGGATTTAATGGTTTTACTGAAAGCCTGTGGGACTGTACGTGACCCAATCTGAGTAACTCGAGCGGGACGGAGAGCAGAGAGAGAATCTTAAATCTATTCTTAGCTCCGTTTGAGATCAAGTTTGCCATTGAAACATGCCGAGGTTATGACATGAACTACAGAGTGAAATGTACTGTCCCTCTGTGTACTGTACAGCTGTAATGAGGCAGGAAGGTTCAGCAGCTCACAGATCTCAGTGATTTTAGATTTGACAGCACTACAATTAAAACCATTATAAACCTTTTAACCAAGACATCAGTCATTCAAATACATGCCGGCTCTCAAACTCACACTGACTGTTTGTTTTTTGTTGTGTACAGCTGGACCTGCTGGGCCACAGTATTTATGACTTTGTTCATCCCTGTGATCAAGAGGAGCTCAGAGACCTGCTGACTCCACGTCCAGGTCAGACTCACTGTTTGTTATCACCATGAAAGTCGTTAAAAACTGAGACGCTGTTCAAGATTTACAAAGAGGAATAAAAAACATAAAGCTTGGACCTCTGTTAAAAGTTAACTTTGGTATTTTCCAACCTGGACCTTGTTTTTGTGTCAAAGTGTCGAACAGAGAACCAGGTGAGCATTCTGAGTGCCTCATGGATGGAGGCTGCGTCCTTGCTGCAGCGGCCACGAGTTGGACTCTAACCTGTGGACTTGTGTCGTCCCCTATCTCGCTCTCTCTCTCCCCTTTCTGTCACTCTTCAGCTATCACTATCAAT